CTCCCCCTGGCTGCAGCGCCCACCTAACAGGCCGACCTCTGCTTCCTCCACAGCTGTGCGTCATGGTCTTCGCCATGTGCCTCTTCCGGGGCATCCAGTAGGGGGCGTGGCCTGAGGACTGGCCCTGCCCACCGCTGCCCAGCACCCAGCGCTCTCCCCTTCCCCCCGCCCCGCCCTCCCTGTCCTGGGCCGCAGGGGAGGAAGCGGCCTGGTGTATGGCCAGGAGAAGGACCGGGGGAAGAGAGCTATTTTTTTAACAAAACAAAATGAAGACAAAACTGTGGCCTGGACGCCAGGGCAGGTGCCGTGGGCCCTCCACAGGGACGCCAGCATTGATGCAGGACCAGGTCTGCTCCGGAAACCAAAGGGGCACCGGTCCCGGGCCCCCTCTGTGACCCAGCCAGACACTGGCGTCCCCCAGCCAGGACCCTCTCTCCTCTCAGCTTCAGGACCCGGTGCCAAGCGAGTGAGGATTTCAGCAGCGAGCAGGCAGCAGCCGACCTCACAGAAGCCCTGGGTTGGGCGGGGCGGGGCGGGGGGAGTGGGGGTCGTCAAGGAGATTCCAGGACTCAACCTAAGCGCAATCCCGTGACTGCCAGAGGGTGGCGCTGTCCCTGCTTCAGCTTGGAACCATGGGCATCCAAGACCTGGCTGGCAGGGTCTGTTGGACCGTGCCGCGCACCCTTGGAGGCCCAGAGAGAGGTGGCGGCAGAGCACACGCATGGCTGCGGTCGCTGTGTCCGGGACTCGGCCGGAGCTGCTGCTGCTCATGGGTGCTGCGGCCTTAGCCTCCCGACGCCCCCCGCAGGCCGAGCTCGACGGCTAAGAACATTCTGGACTTTGTGCCCCCTGCCCCCTCCCACCGCCCCCACGAACACACTCACGTACACTCACCACATCCCCGTGTCCCTGTCCACGTCTGTTCCCTGGCTCCTGGGAGAGAAGAGTCCCACCCCCGACCCAGAACGGAGGCCGCACGGCTTCTGCAGGGTTCCTGCCAAGACCTCGCCACCCTCTCCTTGCATACCTCCAGGGATGGAGAGCTTACTACCTCCCCAGGCAGCCTCTGCCTCTGGCCTGCTCTGACCTAGCGTTAGCTCACTACACAGCAGAGCATTCTGTACTTCCCTGGTTCTGGCCATGGCATCCCACTCGCTGCGTCTCTTCCTGGACTGAAGAACCCTTGGGGCCTCTGGGCCCTCTCGGCTGTGCCACCATTCCCTGTCCCTTGCCCGTCCAGGCTCAGGCAGAGAGAGATTTTCCCACTGACACACGTTCACGCCCACGCACCACTCGCAGACACCAGGGCTTCAACTTCTACACCAGTGTTGGCAGCTAGGCTGCCGGATGCCTCATGCCCATCGGTCAGGAGTGACCGCCAAAGGCTGTGCCGAGGACCTCAGACTTGGTCTGGGCTCAGTGAGAGAGGGCAATGGAATCTCGATTAGTGATGTCTGTCGGACACCTCGAGTTTGACTAGTGACGTCTGCCGTGGGCACGGGGATGGGAGGAACAGCATGGTGCCTGCCCTAGTTAGAGACCCTTGTGTCTCACCTGCCACTGGCCCCTGTACCAGCTCCTGGCCTCCCCTAGGGCTTACCGGCCACCTGGGGAGAGCTGCAGGCAGCAGCTCTGGGCCAACTGGCGAGATTCAGTTTGGCCCTCTCCCCATTCCCCAGGCCCCCTGCTGCTGTGCCCACTGGTCCAGGCCCTGCTCACCACGTCTCTAAGCCGTCTTCCCAGTGTCCCTGGGGGCATCTGCTGTGCTGACCTCAGAGCCCCTTGGAGGCTGCAGGGGCACCTGCGATGGGCACCCCAGCCCAGCGTGGGAAGGCCACGGGGCTTTGCCCATCTCTGGACCCCTCCTGCATGTGGCTGCAGCCTCCTGGGAGAGGCAATGCCTGCTTGGAGGCTGACCAAAAAAAAAAAGAAAACCCACAGCCAGGCTGGGCGGGGCTGCTGTTCCCACCACACAGGCAGGGGAGCCCAGGCTGTTAGTGCTGGGCGAGGCTGCCTGAGACCAGCCTGGAACAGGGTGGGGGCATGGTGAAGAAAGCCCCGCCTACACTAGACTGGGGCTTCCCCTAGGGCCCAGGACCCGTGGGCACCAGGATGCCGCCGCTCAGTTCTGGTGGGGACAGCGGGCCAGGCCTCCCCTCTGCTTTGCACTCCAGGATCCAACAGCCCACGCCCACGACTTCCCGCGACCCAGCCAACAAGGCCAGGAATGGCGTTCTCCAGGAAGCCCATGTCCTGCAGACCAAGCCCTGCCCCACTCCCAGCCTTGCGGCCCGGGCGTCCCCCAGGCACCTCTGTCCCTCCCCGTCCAGGCCCAAGGGGCCCCGGAGGATCCCCCAGCCTGCGGTCGCGCCTCGAGGGAGCAGCAGAGCTGACCTTCCGCGGCCCCCTCCCGCGAGAACGCCGCCTTTTCTAGGATCACCCAGAGCTTTTGTAATATAAAACAGGACGCCCACTCGGATGGTTTTGCACTGGTTTTTGTGACTGTTTCTTACAAAAGAAAAAGGAACGAAGAATAAATAGTGACCGTGAAGAAAGGTGGTCTTGATTCCAGGGGGCGGGGCTGGCCGGGGGCGGGGGCAGAAGCCGGAAGGCAGAGGCGAGGGAGGGAGGGCACAGGTCATCCCCAGTCTGGCAGGGCGGGCCGCACCGGGCCTCCCCCCTGCACTGGAGGGTCCCCTTACCCCTCCCCCTCACCATAGCCCCTTGCCTTCTGGGTCCCCTGCTAAACCTCATACAATGCTTCCCTAAGCCCCAAGGCCAAGAGCACTGCTGGGTGCGGGCCTGGCCAGCCCGTCCACTGCACAGGGGAGGACGGCAGCTCGGTGGTCTCGGCCCACAGACGCCCACCGCAGAGCCTGGCGCCCAGCTTCATGGCCTTCTGCTTCCCTGGCCACCTGCCTGCCATGTCCCCAAGGAGAACGAACGATGGGCCCAGGCACTAGAAACATGGCCTTAGGGGAGCAGCAGTGAGCCCCCCGGCCCGCCAGGGCTCAGCAGCAGGACCTTGGAGAGAGGCACAGACCTAGGAGGCAAGAGGCGCAGGCCTGGGCGTGGGCTCTGCCCTTGGGAACAGGGGTGGGCCAGCCGGTCCCCAAGCAGAGCTGCCTGCCCCTGGACCCCTCACCTGGCGCCCGGGGCTGCCTCACTCCACGCCTGTCCCCAGGACCCAGGGGCTGCTGTTCCTGGGGTGCTGGAGGCGAGGAGTGAGGATTTCTGGGGGGGCTCACAGCATGTGCGGGTGAGCCTGTGGGGCGGGCAGGGCCAGGGGCCTATGCCTGCAAGGGAGCCCCCCCGCCCGCCTTCCCCGGAGGGGAGCAGGGCAAGTGGAAGCCTTCTACGGATTTCCCCTGCAGTAGTCCTGGGCTTAGCCTTGGGGCGGCACCCGGGGGAGGGGCTGAGCCCAGGATGGGAGGCCAGGACAGGATGTGTCAGGGGGTAAACCAAGGCCACAGCTTTGCCTTTCTCCTCCTTGGACTGCAAACCCTGTCGCTCCCACAGGCCTCCATCTGGGGCTATCTGTGTGTCCATCTGTCCGGGGTCACTGCTGGCTGCGGGCGGGCTGAACCCAGGCCAGAAGTAGAGCTCCCAGGGACCTGGGCTGGGGGCAGGCACTGGGCAGCAAGGCCCCGGGCGGGAGGCGGGGCTGCCGGCTGTGTGAAAAGTCAGTGCCCACTCCACTCGTGCTCCCTGCAGGGCAGCCCCGACCAGCCAATGGGAAGCGGCGCGTTGTGCACGTGGCTTGTGCGTGCGCGTGTCCCGTGCATGCGTGTGTTCCGGTGCAGAGGGGCCCCCACATGTGGGGAGAGCCCTGGTGGAGGGGTCAGGGCACAAGGCCAAGGTCTGCAGGTTCCCAGGCAGAGAGAGAAAGAGAGAGAGCCCGGTTCAGCTGCTTGGGCTCTAGGATGGCCGGGGTGTCGGAGAGAGAGCAGGGCGTGGCCTGCAGCCTCTCTCTCTCTCTTTCTCTCTCTCTCTCTCTCTCATCCAGGCCTCCCTGGCCTCCACTCTGCCCGCTGACCCTGGGAGTCCCACCACAGAGGTGTCTCCACATGGGGTGAGACGGGTGCAGAGGCCTACAGCTCCCCACAGCAGCGTGGGGAGAGGGAGGGGACCCTCCCGCCTTCCAGAAAGCACAGGGAAGCCGGCGGCCCCAGGCGTGGGCAGGCCCCGGCTCTGAGGCGGGCTAGACTTTCTTGGGTTTTCGGCCGACTTGGTAGTAGTAGTACACGCTGATGGCGACAAAGACGAGGCGGCTGGCCAGGAGCAGCAGGATCCCCAGGGATGTGAGGCCCGTCTCGGCCAGGGTGGCAGTGACCACTGTGTGGGAGAAGGGCCGGGCCGAGGGTACAGATGTCAGAGGAGAGAATGCACCCTAACCGCCCCCGACATAGCACTGGGAGCCCCGGGGTGGCTGCCCGCCCCGCCTGCCGGGAATGCAGGACCTGGCACCGCCCACTCCACAGGCAGGTGCTGGGCAGGGCAGGGGCCCACACAGAGCCGGTGTTGTGTACACAGCAGGTGCTGGGCTGCAGGTGTGTGCAGGCATGAGACGGGACAAGACTCTGGACTGACGAAGACAGGTCCATGTCAGGTATGTGTGCACAGGTGTGCAGGTGCACAGGTACACACAGCCACAGGAGTCCCTCTCTCAAACAGGCTTCCAGCCCCTCCCACAAACCCCAGCGGTGACAGCTGGGGGGGGGGCAGCAGCCCCCAAACACTCACCCAGGAACTGGACCCCAAAGTAGCAGGCTTCGGTGAGCAGAGTCCAGCGAATGATGACCTTCTCGGCCGTGTAGAGGGCATTCCACATGATCAGGGAGATGCCTGGGGCAGGGGACAAACAGGGGACCTGAGGGTGGCTCAACCATGGCCAAGTCCCCCCCCCCTGGGAGCATTCCACCAGCGGCCGCTAGATGGCAGCACACGCCCAGCACAGGCGGGTGAGGAGCACCAGCCAGGGGAAACGCAAGGGAGCCCCAGGCCAAGAGAGGTCCCCAGCGTCCACCCGGCAGCACTCACTGAGGAGGGCGCCCCCGTAGAGGCGGATGGGGGTCTTGCTGGTCACCTCGGCTCCATCAAACACCGCATCGTAGAGCTGGTCGGGGAAGGCGAGGGCCTGCGGGCAGTGGGAGCCGGGCTCAGAGCTCTGGCTCCGGGTGCCGGTCCTGTGTGCACTGGACGCCCCCTCCTTCCCCCAGGAGCAGGGTCCTTGGGCCGAAACTTCGACTGCCTGCCAGCCCTCCATGCCGGGACAGACGCTCTGGGGTTTCCAGGGCAAGGAGTCGGGCCCAGAGACGGTGGAAGCCGGGGTGTCCCCCAGGGGCCGGGCCCCGGCATGGGGCCATCGCGGGGTATGAGGGGGACGCAGCTGGGCCCCCCAGTGGTGGCTCGAGAGGGCTTGGGGATGGGTGGGCGCGCCCAGGGCCAAGACCCAAGGGGGCACGAGGGTGGGGGCCGCTCACCATGACGGCGATGCCGGAGAAGAGCACGGCGGAGAGAAACTGCCAGACCCTGCGGGGCACGTGGGAAGCCAGGTCACCCCGGGGACCCTCCCTCTCCAGCCAGGGGGTCTTTGGGGTCTCACTCCAGACAACCCTGCCCCTCCCCCAGCACCGCAGGGCAAAGCTCACCTGAGCCCCAAAGGCTCGCGAACCGCAAACTTGATTTCATTGCCTAGGACCTGGCTGATCTGTGGGTACAGGGTGGTGAAGGCAGGCCCGCCCCCGGCTCCCCCAGCCCACCCGCCCCTGCCTCCCCTCGGCGCCTACCTCCCCTCGGAGGTAGGAGAAGCCGCGGGTAAGGCGGTGAGGCCCGGAAGCCCGGGCACCTGCCAGGTTGGGGCCTCAGTTTCTCCTCCGTGACATGGGCGGGCACACACGGCCCCGTCCCCCAGGGAACCCCTAGAGAGCAGCCGCTCCCCACCACCCCACCCCAGGCGCCATCAGCTCTGGCGGTTCTTCCCCCCAGACTGCCCCTGGAAGGTTCCAGAAAGGCGCCGCGCCTACCTTGGAGCGATGCACCTCCCCGTCGTCGTCCTCCCCGCCCACGCCCAGGACCTTGCGCGTCTTCAGGCGGCTCACCAGGTCCGTCTGGCTGTGCTTCTTCATCAGCGGCGGGGGCTGCTTGGCCGCCATCTTGTCTGGAGCCCCCCCTGCCGGAGGGCTGAGGGGAGACTGAGGCTGCTGCTCCCGCCCCCACTTCCGGAGCAGGCAGACCCCGCCAGGGCCCACCAGCACCTGTGGGCCACAGCTTCCCCGCGTGGAAGATGGGTTGGGGCAGCCGTGGCACTGGCCAGGGGACCAGGCTGCGTGGGGCCTCCCTGTGGGCCCCGGAGGGGGCGCTGGGGACTGGCCAGAGCCCACCTCCAGAGCGCCCCGGGGGAGGGAGGATGGGGCGCAAAGGCATCGGGGGTCTCCCTCCCTTCCATCTCCCCACCTGCGCCCCACACCTCCCCAGCCACCCCCACCCAGTGAAGCTGGGGAACGGCCTTGAGCACCTGCTGTGTGCACGGGGCGGGGGCTGTGCTGGGCGCCAGGTGAGCAGAGGAGGGTCCTCTTCTTCAGTGGGCACTCAGGCTGTGCGAGGAGACAGGAGCGCCAACGGGGAGAGATGGGGATTTATGCCCATTCTACAGATGAGACCACACCCCACGCGGTCTGCCCACCAGCCCCATGCTCCTGCCACACTCCCCCTCAGCTCATCAGGGCTGACCTGGGCAGAAAGCCCGAGTGCCTGCACCCTCTGCCCCTGTTTTTGCACCTGCCAGTGTCTTTTTTTTTTTTTTAAGATTTGTTTATTTGAAAGGCAGAGTTACAGACAGGCAGAGAGACATCTTCCATCTCCCACGTGAGTGCAGGGCCCCAAGGACTGGGCCATCCTCCACTGCTTTCCCAGGCCACAGCAGAGAGCTGGATCAGAAGTGGAGCAGCCAAGACTAGAAC